GGGCTACAGGTGTCTGGGCTGAGCTGGGGCCTAGGAGTCAAAGAAAAAATAGCCCCCACTCAGGAGGAGAAGGGCAAAGGGCTTCCCCTGCCTCCTTCCAGGGAAGGCAAGGGGTCCAGGCCTCCCCTGCCTTAAGGGTTTTCCATAGGACAGACACCTCCTCTGAAAGTGATGGTGAGAAGCATCTAGCTCTTCCCTAACATTCCTGGCTTCGCAGGCCTCAGCAACTGGTCAAGGGGGCGAGCCTACACCCAGGGCTGGAGGCCAGCGTGGCTAGATGGTGGTGCTGTTGGCTGGGTGTCTTTGGATGGGGGCCTTTCCACCTATTGACTTGGCTGCAGGGGAGGCTTTCCGCTTGGCATCCAGGTTCTTCTTATACCTCTGGACCCACTGCTGCTTGGGGTCACCACAGAACTTCTGGCCCTTCTTTGTGGTGAAGCTGTGAGAAGAATGACAGATTATACCTGAGGCCTGGCAAGGGACTTGAGTACCACTGTGTGCAGCCTTGTCACCTCCCAGGGAGGAGGTGGTGGAGACGGAAGAACAGAAGGGGTAAGCCACTGGCCCAGGCCTCCTAGCAAGTTACTGATGGGGTGTTGTCCATCTGTGTGAGTGTCTCTCTTTGTTTCAGTGTTGAAGGAAGAAAGGGGGTGGTGGGAGATGAAAAGTTCATGGTCAGCCAATTTCCCGTGAGATGGGGGTGAGAGGTGGGATGTGGGGTCGGCTCAGCCCTGCCTTTAGATAGTGCTAAGTCCAAAGGGAGAGACACAATCTCCACCCACAGGGAGGAGGGGAGAGTAGAATATGCAATGGGTACACCCAAGAGCAGAGGCAGGTGCCCCATCTGAGCACCACTCATCTGTCAGTATGTCACACTGTGGTGGCTTGCATGTTGCTGTGAGGCTGGAGGCTATGCCACCGGTATTTCAAATACCAGCAGGGTCACCCGCGGTGGACAGGTTTCAGTGGACCTTCCAAACTAAGACAGACTCAGAAGAAGAAAGGGGCCATATACTTCTCAAAGAACGGGCCATCGAAAACCTTATGAATAGCAGTAACACAGTGCCTGATCTATTACTGGAAAACTTCTGTCTGCAAGAAAGTGTGGCTGAAAAGGCTATCAGAGCCGGGAGGGGAACTGGGATACCCAATTTGAGGCCAGCTCTGAGCAGGGAGGACCCAGGCTACGGAACTGAGTCTGCTGCCTTTTGGGGAAAGTTAATGATACTAAGCTCATATTTCTATTGCCCATCACTGTTTACAAGTGAGTTCACTGTGGGGTTATTTGGCATCCACAGACCTGGCTACTTTTGTGACCTTGAACAAGTCTGCTTTCTGAGTCTCAGTTGGCCTCTATAAAATGAGGATCATCCTACCTACCTCACAGAATTGTTGAGAGTTAGTTAAGATCATATTATGTGCCCTGAGTAGGGTCTAGCATCTATCTGGTGCCCAGTAAATAATTACTGAGTCTGACCCCTCTTCCTAAGCAGCTCTGGTGGTGCAGTGCCTAAGGCATTTGACTGCTGGTTCAAACCCACCAGCCACTCCATGGAAGGAAGACTGGGCAATCTAGTTCCACAAAGGTTTCCCATCTTGGAAACCCAATGGGGGTCACTATGAGTTGGAATCGACTCTATGGCAGTGGGTCTGGTTTTTGTTTTTGACCCTTCTTCTTGGTTTTATGGGTGAGGAAGCTGAGGCTCAGAGGGGTAAAATGACTTTGCCAAGGAAGCACAGAGCTGAGCCCTTCTGTCTTTACTCCTCAGTGACCCCAAAGGCTCATCCCTGCCCTTCTCCTGCCAGGTGTCCAAGAAGAAGTGGTACTTACATTACCCCTGCCTTGGGGCAGACACTTGCGCTGGACAGCTGGTAGTTTACCACGCGGCCCTCAGGAACTTTCTTGGAAATAAAGGACATGCAGCAGGAAGAGGGGATGGCCACAGAACCTAAAGGAAGGGGAAGGAGAAGAGCCACAGTCTTTCCCAGCCTGCCCAAGGCTCTGGGCCACCAGATACCAAGCCTGCCTTCTGCATTAACCACCTCCTGCCTGTCACAGTCCCTTGTCATTCATTGTTCCTCTCCAACCCAGACTGGTCAGTCTTCCACTCTTCTCTGCACCAACCCCTCTGGGGCAGGGCTGAGACCTTACCTGCAGGACTGATGTGGTGGGCGCAGAGGGCCAGAAGCACGAGGCTGGCTATGAGGGTCGCCGGGCCTGCCATGTCCTGGAGAGCAGAGGAGGCTGCAAGGTTGCGCAGTAAGTACAGGAAGAGATGGGCTGGGAATGAGTCTGGTTGCAGAGTACCCCAAACTCCCTGTGCCCTTTATAGGGGCGGCTAGGAGGAAACATGTTGATAGAACCCCACACCTCCTCCTCTCTCAGGCTTCCTTGAAAATCCGACAGGCCCTGAGGTCTGAAAAGGGGAAGTTGTTACAGTTGAGTCAGGGGTTATTCTGGGTGTTCTAAGAAGACTTGGTGGTGCAATGGTTAAGCACTCAATTACTAGCCAAAAGGTCAGTACTTGAAACACACCAGCAGCTCCATAGGAGAGAAGACCTGGCCATTTGCTCCTGCAAAGATTACAGCCCAGGAAACCCTGTGGCACAGCTGTACCCTGTCATACAGGATTGTTGAGCCGGCACCCAACAA